CATCGTTGCGGCGCGGGTCAATGTCATGGTATTCGGTGGATGTATCCTGATCAAGAATTGCCATGGCAGCTTTGTCCTTGGGGGTGGTATAGCTTGGTCCGTTGTTCACGTACACCAGATTCCGCTTGCTGATCTGCGCGTAATTGTGCGAGGGTGAACCTTTTGCAGAAGATCACATCGCGCACGTGTGTGATCTTGTTGCTCAGAAGGACGAGGATGATCCACGCCTTATATTCGTAGCTGATGCCGAGGTGAATCCCCTATCGCGCGCGGCATGTGAACTTCCCGACAGTTGAGGTAGGGGGGCTATACTGCACCACACACCCTCATACGCGCAGAATATAGGTGTCGCCCTTCTTGCCCGTCTATTTCACGTGTGGTAACGATTTGCCAGTGATCGGCGTGGTAGAGAGCAGGTTGTGCAGGCGCACGGCGTGGTGCATCGCATACGGCCAGTAGGTGGCGGGGAGTTTTGACTGCTTCAGCAGCGCGCGCACTTTCGTCATGAGTGTGTGCTTCATTCGTTCTGCAACTCCTTGCCGCGGGTGCTCATAAGGGAGCGACATGTGGTAAAGGATTCTCTTCTGCCTGAGGTAATCCTGTAACTCCTTACTTTGAAATACCACCGCACCGTCCGTCTGCCAGATCTGTAGTTTCTTTCTTGACTGCCGTTGCGCGTGAGCGAGACAGGGGCGGAACTGAACGTTGGTGTTCCAGACGTAGCGGGTACCTGCGTCCACGAAGGTGAGTATGTAGCCTTCGTCATTGAGCCCACAGTGGTTGATGACAAGGAAATCACTATACACCTTGTGCAGATTTGGGTAGCGATTAGTGCCTGGGTACAGCAGGGGGAATGGCTGGTGAGTCAGCGCGGATTCGGGGCAGAGGGTGTAGGTTTTTGGCTGCGAGGTGCCCCTTTTTTCGTTGCCGTTGGGGCTTAGGATTACGCTAGGCGCAAAAACCTCAGCCGTGATGCAATTGTTGAGCGTTTGGCGCGAGGGGTCACCAAGGCGCTGATGCCACAGGTCGTCTGGTGCGCGAAGTCCCAAGGTGCGGAGATATTAGGCGCGCGCCTCATCTGGGTCTTCTTTAGGTACGAGTGTAGGTTCCGCTGGTGCCTCTTCTTCCTCCGCTTCTTCGTTCGCCATCGTCAGCATTAGCGCGAGGAATTTTCTGTCGGGGATGACAGATAGTGGGATGTTGGTTCTATGGATTGTGCCTGGGACGAGCTCCGGCTCGCGCGGCTCGGGATCAGGGCGCGGGGTCGACGACTCGTTACCCCATTCGATTGTGTCCCATGGGTCGCGTGGTGGCGGAATATCCGCGAAGGGTGGCGGTGGTATGAATAGGCGCGGAGGACGACCAAGGGGAACAACAAACGATGGGGTTTCTTCCTCGGTTCCCCCCCTTTGTTCTTCTCGGCTGCGTGATATGCCCCAGCCTTCACCTGAGCCTCCCCATTTGCCCGTAGTGCTGCCCCTGTCAGAATAATATATAGTTTTATATATTGTTTTGTAACTGCCTGTAGTGTAGATTACTGTAGTTATACAATGTTCTGTTTTGGTGGTGCACCTTTCATTTTGCCTATATGTACTGCTCGCTCTATAGTGAAACCACTTCTTCTCTTCCAATTTCTCGACTCTCCTAAACTTACTCGAACTCAACCATGGCTCCTAAGCCTACCCATTGCTAGTATCTTGACAGCCCCATCCACCAGTGGCGGTGCCCCAGGTGCCTTCCATGTTACCCCAAGTTCCGCCACTGCTAGATCCCCATCCTTCCTTTCTCCCCCATTGTTGGAGGCACCTTCTCAGCGGACTTCCCCCCCAAGTGCTGCAGACGAAGGTACCGCGTGCTTCTAATATGCTTTTGTGGCAAAGTTCGCCAGTTTTGAGGCGCGCCAGCTCCTCCTATTCTTATACACTTAGCTTCTTGGTCGGGTCGCGCTGGGGGTAAAGCCAGAGAAATGTTTCTTTGGTGTAGGGGCGCTATTCTCCATTTGCGTCGTAGGATCCGCGTCTTCTTCCTCGCAAGATCCATTGGAGGTTTTCGTGAGCGAGCCCGGGGAGGTGTGCGCCTGGCGTGCTGGTGCGCATGGCGCACTCAAGTTCTACCATTGACATGCCTTTGTGAGGCGGCGCGTATCGCTCAGCTTCGGATATCGCGGCAAGTCCTCTTTCAGCGATGTTAGCAGTGGTTGAGGAGGTAGGAGTGTGGCAATCCCTACAGATTTTGTCGGTATCGAGATCGTGCAGTGCTGTCTCGCGCGCATGCTGATGATGCGGCACCCAGGGTCTCCTGTCTGGGTGCTTCCACTCGGTTTGCTGGATGTAGTCAAAGCAAAGCGGAACGAGGTCGATTAACTCGTCCGTATCGCCACTCCAGTCGAGGATGTTTAAGTCAAGGACATACATGCCATTTTCTGCGCATGCGCGTCCAAGGTATTTGCCCGGCTTGTCGGGCGACGCGAAGTGAAGGAGAATGTCGCGTGATTCTGGGTCGGTGCGGAGCTCCACGTCGCAATCCGTCAACTGCAACGCCGAGAGCATATTAAAGCGCAGATTTTGCACAATAAGTGCGTCATTCAGCGTGATATGTGTGTTGCTATCGCACGCTTTTAGGACCATGATTCCCTGTGCGCTTGCGCACGGCCTTTCGTTGTTTGCCACAGTGATATAAGTGATCGCGGGGGTGGCGACGGCGTTCGAAAGGAAGCGCCTCGAGCCCACCAGCTGCTGCCCACAAAAGCTGTCGAGATACCAGGTGTTGTGCTGTTGATCGTCGTCGCGCGCAAGAACCGCAAGTCGCTGCGTGACGACATGCGGGGTATCGTACTCCGGAAAGCGTTTGCGCACAATCCAGTTGATGGGCGTCGGCCTGGGGTCATACATGTGCGGAGGGCTTTCAAGCAGCGAGACTGGTAAATTCCAATCTTGGCCATCATCATCGTCTCTTGACAAGCGAGCGTGTGCTGGAAGCCACCATTAGTTCGCAAGAACTTTCGGAAGTGGCAGTGCGAAGAAACCCTGAGTCGCTCTCATACCATATTACGATCCCACACGGGACCATGCCAAGATCAGCCTCAGTTTGTTCGCATAGAGATATTTGCAGTGGAATTGAATGACTCCTAGTCAGAGTGGATCTGAATTAGATATATAAAACATTGAATATGAATCGACCTAGACCAGCCATATACTCTAAGGGGTGCATTCCTTGGCGAGATAAAAACCATGCGACGCGGAACGTGTTTCTAACAGGTTCCTGCCATTTTCCTTGGCGATGCAACTGCCCGATGCTTCGGCGCTAACGGTCAAGATGCTCCAACTGTACGCGACTCTTCGCGTCATCTTGGCCATTCGTATTCATACCCGGTTATGCCTTCACCTTGTGATGTACATGAATGCTTTCGTATTTTCCTTATCGTAACAATATTTACCTCGTTCATCTTTACCGTACCTCTGCACGTTATTCAGCTGCGAGCACCCTAAATTACTGAAAATGATTGTAATCTCGTGCTGTACACATAACCACGTCTGTTTTGAATTGGTACTAGATGCAACAGTGTGAAGGAAGGGATTTCAGTAAATATACGTACAACTCTCAAGTCATGCAAACAAGCACACCCTAGATCGGCACTTGAATTTTTCTGCCCGCCGTCTTTCCAACAGCCATTCATATTTATTCTCAAGGCTGAATTTCATGAAATTTCAAGTCCGTGATGCAGCAAAAGCATTCTACGAGTTCTGCCGCTGCCTCTTTCCTCCTGCACCTTGCCACTTGAAGCGTAATTATTCGCAGAGTGGGCACTTGCAGGGGTAACACTTGTAGTGTTCACATTCGCAGAAGTCCTTGATCCAGGTCGCATGAGCGGATTCAGCTCGAGTCCCTCCAGATCCTCTCCCTCATACTGACTCACCCCAGCCTGCAGGTGAGCATCAGCATGACTGGATTGAGTCAGAGTACTCACAGCATGTATTGCAGGAGCCACTTCTGTTTCCAAAATTACTCTCCCGCTCTCGCACCCTCTAACGCTCCCTCTTCCATTCCCTCCCCCAGTCCCTTTTCCAGTCTCTTCCCCCCTTCCTCTGCCTGTAGGTACACTTGTGTACGCTCCAGTAGCGTCCTCGGTAGAAGCCATACCAGTGTACGCCTTATTAGCTTCCTCGTTAGAAGCCCTTCCAGTGGAGACCGTTCTTAGGTGTAGCGGGATTCCCATTGCTGCAGTATAAAGAGCCGTAGCTAGAAATGTAGCAAGAGCACTACCATCTCCATGCTCACTATAGCAGTTGAAGGGGGTGCTAGTAGAGGGGTTTTTTATGAGGGAGGTATCACAGGAGGAGGTGTGGAAGAGAGTGCTCTAGATAACGGTGATTCCAAGGAAGTTGGTTTCAGTGAAGACAGAACGTGTCGACGAGGCAGTGACCCAACGTACTGCAGCAGGCTCGGCTGCCCGTTTGTCCGGCTCGGGCCTTGGCCAAGGTTTGGGCCCAGGCTAAGGCTTGGGTTTGGGCCCAGGCTTGCGCCCAGGCTTGGGTTGCGGTCCAAGCCTGCAATATTCTCTGCTTCCAGTATCTGATGAATTGATAAAAGAGCAGCAGGAGAGGCAGTGGCAATGGCACTGGCAGTGGCAGCAGCGGCAATGAGAGAAGCAGCAGCATCAGAGGCAGCAGCAGGAATAGCAGGAGGAGGAGGAGCAGCAGTGGAGATTCCATGCTGTGATGCCTCCTTGAACCAGGATCGACCCCCACGAGCAGCAGCAGCACTGGCAGCAGCAGGATTGCCAATACTAGCACCAGCACTAGCAGCAGCACTGGCATCAGCACTAGCAGCACTGGCATCAGCACTAGCAGCAACACTAGCATTAGCAGCAGCATCAGCACTAGTACCAGCAATAGCAGTGGCAGCAGCAGCACTAGCAGCAGCAGCAGCAGCAGCAGCAGCACTGCCGCTTCTGGAACCAGATATAGAAGGGGGATACATAATGCTCGCCTTGCGCTTGGATGGGAAAGAAAGAGTGGGTTGGGATGGGAGAGTGGGGCGGGATTCAAAAGGGCTTTCTTTTGCACTACCAGCAGCAATCCCTATTGCTTTCTCAAATAGCTTCTCCAGACATCCTTCACCTTCCCATCTCGCCCCTCGATATTCCCTTCCCCATTCTCAATCCCCTTCCCTTCTCCCTTCCCCTTCCCACTCCCCTTCCTCTTCCCCTCCCCCTCCATCTCCTTCTCCTCCTCCCTCCCCTCCTCTACCTGCTCCTCTCAAGCCTCCTCTCCCTGCTCTTGATGGTCCTGCTACAGCTGCTGCCTCTGAAGCTGCTGCCGCAGCCTCCCCTTTTCGGGATGTCCTCTTACCTCGTGCCCTGTGGCACGTCATGTGTCCTCCAAGCGCCTGTGATGTGGGGAAGGTGCTGCCGCAGAGAGGACAAGAATACCCGCCCGGCCTCTGCCCCAGCATGCCTGGGAGATGGTCCGAAGAAAGCTGAGCTGGAGGCTGGGTGGCGGCATGAGGCTGGGCGGCAGCATGAGGAGGGGCGTTGAAACCAGCACCAGATGAAACTGAAACGGTCCCACCACTACCACCATAGCCACCAGAAGCAGTTGAACTTGCAGCACCAGTAGCAGCAGTGGCAGCAGCAGCAGCAGCGGCAGCAGCAACAGCAGCAGAGGGAGTGGGACTTGCCACTCCAAGCCAGGAGGACAGGAGGGCATGTGCTCTCTCGCTCAAAACAACCCGAGTATGAGGATGATGTTCGGCTAATAAATATTGATGTTGCTCGATTGATAGATCCTGATGTTGCTCGGCCGGTTGGACTGGATATTGCACATGAGAAGTCTCAAACGCCAGGATTCCTGCCTGTGATCCTGCCTGCTGGTGCTGTGCTTGTTGCTGTAGCTGTTGACGCGCCTGCTGTTCTGCTTCTCGCTCTTCCTGCTTCTGTCTTGCCTGCAGTTCCAGTTGCCTCAGAAGCAGAAGCTGCATCTGTTGCTGTGTCTCTTGTTGTGCATGCTGATGAGCTTGCTGCTGAGCTGCTTCTTGCTCCTCCTACCGCTGCCTTGCCTGTTGCAGAAGCAGCACCTGCTGTGAGGGTGATTGTGCCGCCTCTTGTCGTACCTGTTGCTGTTCTTCTTCTCGCTCCTCATGCAACTGTTTTACTCGCTGCTCCAAACCCAGCTGCTGCTGCAGCTGCTGCTTATGAATGTCCAGCCTCTGACTCTTCTCCTGCTCATCTTGCTGCTGCTGCTGCAACCAGCCTTGCTGCAGCTGCTGCAACCAGCCTTGCTGCTGCTGCTGCTGCTGCAACAAAGCTTGCTGCTGCAACCAGCTTGGCTGCTGCTGCTGCTGCTGCAACCAGCCTTGTTGCTGCTGCTGCTGCAACCAGCCTTGCCGCTGCTGCTGCAACAAAGCTTGCTGCTGCAACCAGCTTGGCTGCTGCTGCTGCTGCTGCAACCAACCTTGTTGCTGGTGCTGCTGCTGCTGCAACCAGCCTTGTTGCTGCTGCTGCAACCAGCCTTGCCGCTGCTGCTGCTGCTGCTGCAACAAAGCTTGCTGCTGCAACCAGCTTGGCTGCTGCTGCTGCTGCTGCTGCAACCAGCCTTGCTGCTCCTGCTGCTGCATCTCATACCGCCTCTGCTGCTGCAGATCCTGTAGCTGAAACTGGTATTGCTGCTGCTGCAGAAGATCTGTACAGTAACTCTGCTGCTCTAACTGCTGCTGTTGCTGCTGGGTTTGCTGACGGACCTGCTGTAGCAATGCCTGCTGTTGTTGTTGATGATGCTGCTGCTGCTCCTGCTGCTGCAGCTGCTGCAGCTGCTGCTGCAGCATAAGTTGCCGCAGCAGAATCAGCTGATGCCGCTCCTGCAGAAAAGACAATCTAGCAGCATCAGCTGCCGCTTCTGCTGCTGCCTTAGTGTCAGTCTCTGTCATTGTAGCGCCTCTGCTCTCAAACCCCGTGATATCTCTTCCCATGCCTGTCCCCATGCCTGTCCCCATGCCTGTCCCCATGCCTGTCCCCATGCTTGTACCCATGCCTGTACCCATGACTGTACCCGTGCCTGTTCCCATGCTTCTTTCCATGCCCACTCCCATCTCTTTATCCATCCCCATACCCCCCCTCATGTCCACTCTTCTTTCCTCGTCATCCCTCCTCTCTGCTCCATCCCAGCTTGTCTCATCCGTTCCCTCTTCATCCTCTCTGATTGCACCACCTTCGAGGCGCCTAAAACATGTTCCCATGCTTCTTCCCATGCCTATTCCCATCTCTTCATCCATCCCCATACTGCCCCTCATGGCCACTCTTCTTTCCTCGTCATCCCTCCTCTCTTCTCCATCCCATCTTGTCTCATCCCTTCTCTCTTCATCCTCTCTCGAAGCACCAATTTTGAGGCGCCTCAAAAGTGTTCCCATGCTTCTTCCCATGCTTGTCTCATCCCTTCTCTCTCCATCCTCTCTCGAAGCGCCAATTTTGAGGCGCCTCAGAAGTGTTCCCATGCTTCTTCCCATGCCTGTCTCATCCCTTCTCTCTTTATCCTCTCTGATGGTACCACTACCCTCTATATGCTCTGGCCTGATTTCCGCTCCCCTATTTTTTTTCCTCCCTCCCCCCTCCCTTTTCCTCTCTTCCCCTTCCCTTTTCCTCCCTTCCCCCTCTTTTATGCTGCCTTCCCTCTCCCTTATCCTCCCTTCTCCCACCCATCTCCTCCCCTCTCCTTCCCCTTCCCTTATTCTCCCCCCCTCTTCCCCATCCCCTACCCATATCCTTCCCTCTCCAGCGCTTAGCCCATCTCCCCTTTGGGTTATACAGTCTTTGTCTGACTGGAATCCTAACAAATTCAGCAGGCGAGGAGAAGGTGCGTTTCTGGGTATTGCATCATCCCTACCGAGTATGATTCTAGCACTGCTGGTACTGTCTGTGACTGTAATGAGCGACCTTGTACCGGGGGGTTAACTGTAGCGGGAGAAGCGACATATCGAGGGGTGGGAATAGAACCACGTCCAGGACTGGGCGGCAGCAATGACAGTGTCTCCAAACGTTGCTGCCCGGAACCAGAACCTGCCGAGGCCTCGTTGCCTGGAGGAACCTCAGTCTTTGCCGCCCAGAACCTGGAGCCAACGCCTGCTGACGTGGCAACGACAGGTGATGACGCGGCCTGGCGAGTGTCAAGGAGAGGGAAAGCAGTTGGAAGAGGGGGAGGGGGAAAGGGTGGAGGACGGGGGGGGGGGGGAGGAGGAGGAGGGGGGAGGAGGAGGAGGAGGAGGAGGAGGAGGAGGAGGAGGAGGAGGAGGAGGAGGAGGAGGAGGAGGAGGAGGAGGAGGAGGAGGAGGAGATTGAGGAGGCTGGGTGAGATCGTGGTTTGATTTTTGGCTCGTTTGCGTTATTAGAAACAACTCAGGGGAATGTGTTGAGAATAGAACGAGAATGAATGAACTATGAATGAAGTGAGTACAAATAGGAAACCCTAACTGGGTTGTACCCCCTATGGGATACCCCACTAAAGCCTACACAATAGTATAAGCTATATATATGTTCTGACACACCCCCATAGGCAAAGTGGGGGAGAACAAGGGGTCACAAGACCAGTCAAGCAAGACAAAGCAAAGCTCAGGGTGGATCACAAAGTCACCACACAGTCCGAGCACAAGAGCAAGGCCAAAGGCCAGTTCACATGCAAGAGTACAGACATATATATAAAGCTAGACAGGCAAGAGCAGGTATATATATGTCACAGTACAAGTAAAGTCAAGAGGAGAGCAAGTGAGGCAAGACAGGCACAAGACCCAGCTGGGTGCAGAAGCGCTGATGGTCACAAGGCACAAGTGCCTTGGTGAACACATCAGCAGTGTTGGCCTCAAAGGCCACGTACGCAAGCCGCAACTGTCCACGCTGCTGTAGCTCACGAGCAAGGAAGTAGCGAAGAGCAATGTGCTTCGTTCTGTGCTCCAGACGCTGCTCTCGACACAAGGCCAGCATGGCCTTGTTGTCTACGTACAGCACTGGAGGAGAACGAGGCGGCTCTCCAAGGTCAGTCAGCAGGTAGGTGAGCCAGCGAAGCTCCTGTGCAGCCATGGCCCCTGCGTAGATCTCAGCCTCACAACTGGAGCTGAGAACCGAAGACGAACGAGTAGCCCGCCACGAGACAGAGCCGGAACCAAAGCTGAAGGTGTAACCCTGTGACGACCGCTGCGTAGCCTGGTCGTCAGCCCAAGAAGCGTCCGCGTGACCTGTAAGGACCACTGGACTCCGCCCTCCAAGCACTAGCCCCATGCCCGACGTACTGCACAGGTAGCGCAATACCCTCTTCGCTGCAGCCATGTGCTCTGGTCGGTGTCTCCCAGGAGCAACATAGCGTGCAAGAATGCTCAGAGGGTATGCAAGGTCAGGTCGTGTGCAGGTCATCAGGTACATGAGGCAGCCAACAAGCTCTGGGTACGGGCCACTCGACTCTACGGACTCATCCGAAGGCAGAGCTGAGAGCGAGTGGCGGGTAGACAGAGGAGTGGCCTGAGGCGAGGAGTACGTGAAGCCGAAGCGCTGAAGGACCTGCTGCACCATGTGTGACTGAGTCAAGGTAATGGTGCGGCGTGCTCTGTCCCGAGTGATCTGCAAGCCAAGGTAGCTGCGCAGTTCACCCAGGTCTGTGCACGTGTGTCTCTTCAGCAGCTCGGACTTCACGTAGGCGAGTCCAGCAGTGTCCGCTGTGGCAAAGACCAAGTCGTCGACGTACACGAGGATGTAGAACGGCGGCAGTGAAGTGTCGGTGCGCGGAAACAGCGACGGGTCAGCAGTAGAAGGAGCAAACCCAAGAGCCGCAAGCGTAGTCCTCAGTGTGTTGTGCCACTCACGCGGTGCCTGGCGGAGACCGTAGACTGGCCGTCGGAGGCTCCACTGGGTGCCAGGAGGGAAAGTCCCAGTGAAGCCAGGTGGACGGCGCAGCCAGATCTCCTCGTGCAGGCTACCCTGCAGGAACGCAGTGCTGAAGTCGAGAGAGTGAAGCTCGTAGTCGCGCTGAGCGGCTATGTGTAGCAGCACCCGAAGAGTGGTCATCTTCGGGGTGGGAGAGAAGGTCTGAAAGTAGTCAACTCCCTGCCGCTGACTGAAGCCACGAGCGAGGTACCGCGCCTTGAAGACAGGTGGAGAGCCTGGCGGCCGCTTCACCCTGAAGATCCACATGCCACTGACGATGTTCGCCCCAGGAGGGGGAACCGCGTCAACGTAGGTGCCTGTGGACTTCCAGGAAGCCATCTCTGCATCCATAGCTGCCTGCCACTGAGAGGAGTAGGGACCCTCTACGGCCTCCGCGTAGGAGCGCGGAGTCGGGATGTCTAGTGCATCCGGGTCTCCCTCAGGAGCAAGCAGTACAGACGCGAGATGAGGTGAAGCAGCAGCCAGAGACTGTAACTCCTCCTGCCTGTCCTCTAGGACGTCCGTGCCAAGAGCACACTCACCCCCGACGGACGGAGGACAGACAGACGCAGACTCAGCAACAAGACTAGCAGCGTAGTCTAGACGACAGCGAGCAGCAAAGTCGACGAGCTCAGCGACAAGAGCAGACGCAGCAGTGGACTCAAAAGAGGGGTCAGTGACGACAGTAGCAAGGAGACGCGTGACAGTAGGACTGGCAGCACGAAGGGAGTCTGACTCAGGGTCGGCAAGCACAAGAAGAGAGGACTCAGGAGGAGAAGGCAAAGGGGCACGCAGAGGAGCAGTGGACGGACGCAGAGACATCCGGTGCGTGCCAGGGACAGGAGGAGGACGCTGACGCGAACCGCGACCACTAGCGCGAGCAGCACGAACAGGCGACGCGGGACGAGACGCAGGCTCACGACGCTCAGCAAGACCTCCAGTAGGACCAGTGTAAGGAGAGGGAGCAGGCAGTGGGGAGGAAGGCTCCAACAGTGACTGCGACTGGAATGGCTGTGGACACTCTACCGGAGGAGAAAGACCAAAAACCTGCTGCAGGAGCGGAACGAAGTACGGCCGAGGCCGCGCGGCAGCTCCAGGCTCAGCAGGGACAGCACCAGCACCCTCAGCGGCAGGACCTCCAGCAGCACCAGCAGCAGAACCACCTCCAGGACAGACAGCTGGAGTCTCAGCACCAACACCTCCAGCAGCTCCAGCTCCAGTAGGACCCGCAGGTCCAGCAGCTCCGGGACCGGCGGCACCAGCACCCTCGACGGTCGAAGAAGCTCCAGCTCCGGCAGTACGCCTCCAGCGGCGAGCAAACCACTCGCGCAGCTCCTGTGGAGAGAGAGGCTCCCGCCGAGACGTAGCACCAGGAGAAACCCCAGGCTCAGCAGCCCCAGACGCAGCACCCCCAGGCTCAGCAGCTCCAGACGTAGCACCCCCAGGCTCAGCAGCTCCAGACCCAGCACCCCCAGGCTCAGCAGCTCCAGACTCAGCACCCCCAGACTCAGCACCCCCTAGCTTAGCAGCTCCAGGCACAGCACCCCCCGGCTCAGCACCCCCAGGCCCAGCACCCTCCGCAGTAGCACCCCCAGGCTCGGCACCCGCGCGCACAGCACCCCCAGAGTCAGCACCCCCAGGCTCAGCACCCGCAGCAGCACCAGAGTCATCAGTAACCTCGACCGGGTCAACTGCGTCTACCTGGGACACACCTGAGGGGGCAGGAACCTGAGGGGGGAGGGGGTCTACCGGGGGGGGAACCGGCACAAGGAAGTCCGGTGGCGGGGGAAGGGAAGGAGTGCGGTAGGGGAAGAGGCGGTAGAAGGGGACTGACTCGTCGAACGTGACGTCCTGGGAGGACTAAACACGACGAGAGGAGGGGTGGTAGAACTGCCACCCTGGAGCGTCAGGGGGGAAGCCAAGGAAGACACATGGAGCAGCGCGAGGGGACAGCTTGTCCGCAGACAAGTCGCGGACAAACGCCCGAGATCCCCAGACACGGAACGCAGACGCATCGCCAACCTTCCCCGTCCACAGTAAGACTCGGGGACATCGCAGGCCGAGAGACCCTGGGGTGAAGGTTGAGCTGATGCGCCGCGTACCGAACCGCAAACGGCCACAGAAAATGGGGGGCAGCCGCATGCATCATGGACGTACGAGCGACATCCATGACCATGCCAATGCGGCGCTCAGCAATCCAATTTTGCTGTGGAGAGTCCGGAAGCGTGAAGGTCTGGCGGATCCCCCGTGCACGACAGTAGTCTCGCAGAAGGCGAGTGGAGAACTCCCCGCCTCTGTCCGAGTGCAGACGCAGAACAGGAAAGTCCGAGCCGAAGCTCCTCCTGAGCTGGAGACGAGCCTCGCGGATCCAGTCGATCAGCACCTCAGTGACAGCACCCTTGCTGCGCAGGGGGAGGACTGTGGTGTAACGCGAGTAGTCGTCAACCACCAACAGGAAGTAGCGCTCGTGACCCTGCCCACGGACAGGGGCTGGGCCCCACACGTCCATGTGAAGTGTCTGCAGAGGAGCCTCTGTCGGGGGGAACTGGGAGGAGTGAGGAGCAGCCCGGAGGCGCCCCTCAACACAGGGGACACAGGAAGGTCCTGGCCCCGAAGGAAGGGGAGGGAGAGACTGGGGAAGACCAGAGACAAGGACACGGGAAGCCATGCTCCGAAGACGGGGCAAGGAGGGGTGGCCCAGACGGTGGTGCCACAGGAGGGTCTCGTGAGACAGGAGGCGACACGAACAGGGGGCAGACTCAGGGCCAGACCGGGACGCAGCAGCAAACACCTGACCTGACGCAGCTACCTGACCAGACGCAGGGACAGGAGGAGACGTAGTGGTCAGGGTGTAGAGGCTCGACCCCGGCCGACG